GGGGGGGGTAAATGATAGCCAAGGGGGCGGCAAAAGGGGGTACGGAGGAGAGGCTGCTGCGGGGGGGATGAGGAATCGGCCAGACGAGAGTTCTTGACGCCAAACAAATCACGTGGCTCGGCACGGGCGGGGCCTGCGGCAGCAGCAGGGGTGCCTGCCTCTCCTGAAGAAACATGTGGCGCCTTGGCCCAACCGGCCAACCGGTGCTTGAACTCTCACCCCCCTCGCGCCCCGGACGGGGAGGACATGTGCTCTGCACCCCCCCCCCCTCCAAGTTGCCATCCCATTAAGCCCCGCGCCATCCCGTCTGTGACCGGTACACTGTGTTTATTGCACTAAAAACGCAACTGTGTGAATAATGCCACACACTTGTAGGTGTGTGAATGCCCATTCGTACACTTAAGGGGGGTAACTGTGTTAATTTTGCTTTAAAACTGCACACACTTGGGCCTTCATGTGTACGAATGGCGTTCAACACACCTACAAGTGTGCGATGTTCACACACTTGAGTTTCCGGTGCGCGCGCCGGGACGGGTGAGGGCGGCTCTTTTGATCCTCGTGCGGACTCGCTTGCATAAGAATTCGTTCCTGCTGGGCGCGGACCGCTGGCACGGCTGTCTGGTGTGTACCTGCTGAGTCGCTGAGCAAATCGCATTAAAAGCTTGGGATCCCCTCCCCCGTGCCCTGCTTGCAGTTTGGACAAGGAGAAGTCTTTCCCTTTGCACTGTACGCTTTCCAATCACAAACTTTCCCCTAGCTGAGAGCGAGTTTCCCCCCCTCTATGTATAAATAAAATTATTTGAATTTTAACCAGGGATCGGCGCGGGATGACCGAACATTCATTTCGATTTACAAAACTGTATCGCACGCACTGGCAAATCGTTACAAACTAAGCTTGCAAAGCATTTGGATGCTTCGTACATTACGAAGCATCCTTTTGTAAGACTTTAATAGTCCACATTTAATCATTGAGAAGCAGTGCGCATGTGAATCCATCCTAACTTTTACTTATGTTTAGTTTTATGAGAAACACGTCGTCGGCACGGGTAGACCGTTCAACATGCTTCCTTTGTTTTGTATGTTGTTGTTGTTGTTTTTTTACAAAAATAAAAAGCAACCTTATTGCTTCTATTTCCGGTCCACCGGCCGGGTGGCCCCGCCCCGCGGCCTCAGCAACAGGCGCACTAGGCTTGACAAATAGGCGCGACCGAGCCCGATTCTGACCCCTCTACCACCCTCCGGCCACGCTCCCAAGGGTCTATAACGCCCTAGGAAACGCTCGCCCCCCCTCCCCTATTTCCTCTATCTCTCTCTCCTTTTCTCCCCTTCTCTCTCCTTCCTCTCTCAGTGGACCTTCGCCACGAGGTAAATCCTTAGGGCCCTAGGGGGAGAGGCACAGGAGGGTCCGTCGTGGCCATGGGTTTGGAACTACACCGCCAACAGACGCATGTATTATTACAGTAAACGCGTATACATATAACAAGCAGGCCGGCCACAATCGCGCCTGTAAGACACGAGGCACAAAAGCAGGTGGCAGCCGTGTAGGCAACACGGCCGCACGGGCGCGTTAGGCACGGCCTGCCTGCAGGAGGGGTGGCCGCCCCAGGGCCGCCACCCGGGCGGACGGACGGACGGAGGCCCACAAACGGCGCTGTTATACCAAACGCGGGCCGCATCCGAAAGTGCTGCCGTAGAGAGAGGGGCTAGGGTGCCACAAAGATTGGGTTAGAGGGAGTCGAGAGTGAGTGCGTGCTGGCGTGCGAGGAGGAAAGAGAGAGAGAGAGAGAGGGGACGGCAGGTGGAAGAGACGCGAGACGCTCTTCGGATGCCACCCCTAGGGAAGGGTGGCGCGAAATAAAACTGTGGCGTTGCTTTTATGGGAGATTGATGAGCCAATGACGCACCGGGTCCGGGCGGCCCGGGTGGTGCGGGCGGGCGCGCGGGCCTACCTGCTCGCGACAGCTTTTAAGAGACCCCCCCCCCCCTCCCCGACCCTTTTCTTTCTTTCAGCGAGCGCCCCGTGCGCGCGACCGCGCCGTGGTGAGTGTCAGGCATCGGGCAGCGCCAACGCCGCGGGTACGAGCGAGACAGAGAGCGCGAAGAGAGAGGGGAGTGGTAGAAAGAGACGGTCGAGAGAGATAGGGTGGCAGACTACTGAGAGGGAAGAGAAATGTGAACCGTAACAAAAAGAAAATAACGGGAAAACGCTGGTGAACATACTTGCAGCGGAAGCATTTTGTTTTTTGCGAGATGGATAGGGAGTGTAGCCCACCTGTAGTTCGCTCTCCCCCCCGCGTCGGCTCCCTGCGGGTTCCCGTGGCTCCCGCCGCTCCCTCGCTCCCTCCCGTGCTCCTTATTGATTGTGGTGGTGGTGCTTCTGCCCCGATGCTCTTTTGTTTCTCTCTTGTGTCTTGTTGATGGGAGGGGGGCAGGGGGGGGAGATGTTCAAATCCTGTCATTAATTCAAGTGATCATTTTCGTAAAATTGCACTGCGGAAATTATCCTCGTAAATTGACAACATTTATTGTAATTTTTATTTACAAAATATGTCGTAAATTGGCTACAGCGCTCCATTCTTGCTTGTCGGTCGAATACAATTTGACACGGAATGCTATTAAATTTTGCAATTTAAACTGTTATTTTACGACCCACTAACGTCATATGGAATTCTTTACCTACGACTTTTTTCACAATGTCAGTGTGGCCTGAATCTTAAAAACTGAAAAAAGAAAGTCATCACAAACCTTCTTATTCACATCATCGTGCCGTTAATACTTCCGGCATTTTTTGTTACATCTAGATAATATTACTTAAAACTTTGTAGAAATCCATGCTTACTTGTAAAGAGTCGGGTGGTGGAAAGAATAGGTAAACGCGCAAAACTGCAGCGTCCGCTCTGCTACACCCTCACACATTAGTGTCAGAAATATCTTTCGTGTTTGTGAATGTGCTTACGTAGATTTTGGATTTCGTACAAACTATTCCGCAAAACTTCAGCTGGCGCCTCCTCGTGTACCTCGTTCACGTTTTCATCGTTTATACGGCCGTGACGCACGTTGTCCACCGAGCTTCTTGCCCCGCTGTGTGATCAGGTCGAGTAATCCTACACGGTCCGTGCTTCTTGGCGAAGGAAGGAGTGCTGTCGTGGAGTCTGCCCCTGGAGGGAGGGGGGTCACCTTCCAGCCCTCCGTGTGTCCTCCGCCGGCACTGACCGTGACTGGAGCCCGCCCCCGGCTCCAGTGCAGAGGTACACAGAAAGACGGTCGTTCGCCTCGCTCCATGTGTCTCTGTGAGCCCCCCCTCCTACGCCCGGCCTCTGAATTTCCAGCAGAGCAAACAGATTTCGGCCATGCAAGCCCCAAGCCCCGGGCTCCGGCGGCGGCTCCGCCGAGGCTCCAGCCTGGCGCGGCGGGGTGGGTGGGGTGGGCCCGATGGGG